TTGCCATGTGGGCTTCTCCAACATGGCACCTCCTGACTTCAGCAAAGCACGTGAGTCAGGAAGGCAATGGAGGGTCTGCCTGGAAGGTAGACTATTTTGTAACATAGTCATGAAAGGGACACCTGTCCTCTTTGCTGAAATAATAATAAAGGCACTTGAGCCAGTCCATACTAAAGGGGCTGAATATGCAAGGATACTGTGATCATTAGGGAGCATCTTCAAGGGTTACCTACCATGGGACCTTCATGAAAAACATAACCAACTACTGGTTTGAGTAACCAACTTAGTAACGTCCTCCCAGAGAACGTTATTTGGGTAATTATTCTAATACATTGATTTTGTGTGACTTGCTGCATTCTTCTGGATGCAAAATGTTGATTTATCAATTATAATCTTGAATCAATTCATTTATGTTTTTAAATTTTTTATGTTGATATCTTGATTTGGAGGACATATAGAATGTATACTACTTGGTAATGGTGTATAATCTTCTTGATGCTTTGCTGCATTCCGTTTGCCAGTATCTTATTGAGAATTTTTGCATCTATGTTCACTAGGGAGATTGCACTGTACTCTTTTTCAGTTGGATCTTTCTCTCGTTTGGGTATCAGGATAATGCTTACTTTCAGGAATGAGTTTGGGAATATTGCTGCTCTTTCAATTTCATTAAAGAGTTTGAGGAGTAGTAGCATTAGATCTTCTTAAATTTCTTGTAGAATTCAGGAGTGAATCCATTAGGACCTGGGCTTTTCTTTGTTGGTAGGTTTTTGTTGTTTTTGTTTGTTGATTTTGGTTTTTTGAAACAGGGTTTTGCTGTAAAACCCAGACTGGCCTCAGACTCACTATGTAGCCCAGGGTGGCCTCAAACTCACAGTGATCCTTCTGCTTCAGCCTCCTGAGTGCTGAGATTATAGGCATGTGCCACCACACCCATCTGATAAAATTCTTAATTGGCATATTTTATAAGGCTTCCTTGATGCTTAATTTGCTGTTCTTTTTTCTTCTTCTTCGTCTTCAGTTTAGGTATTTCTGTACCTACTGTTAGCATCTCCGCTTCCCAGAGTGTTTGACTTGCTGTCCAAGGTCTGTTAACATTTGTCACCGTCACCATTCCTCTGCTGGTACCCTTTCTTCTACTTGTTGCAATTGCAGCAGCTTCCGTCTGGAGCTCTGGGAGCTGTGCAGGGGAGGGCAGGGTGAAATCACTGTTCCCTTAGCACACATTCCTCAGCTCGGGATCATTCTTCTTTATATCACCCTTTTGATCCTTTTACTCCCATTTCACCTGCACAACATGTGGGCTTGGGTGAACCATACTGTATTGTTAGTTGTGCTGAGATGCTCCTTTGGTGCATGGGGGTGTGGAGTGGTTGGAGCCCTGCGTAAAACCTCGGGATAACCCTGTGCACTGGGAGGGTCCATCAGAAACAGCACCACTCTGGCTGTCATTCCCTGTCCCTCCCCTCACTTTCCCTGCTCGCACGTGAGACCTGACTCTGCTGTGTCTAGGGTGATGCCCCATGCAGTCACTGTACAACCGGTGGTTTATGCTACCGCCTGCCCCAAGCCTGTGCTTCACTGCTCCCATAAACTTGAAGTCAAAAGGGTCAGCCTCCTGCATTCTGAGAAAGAGCCATGGGGAGAAGTTGGCCCGTCTGATTCATGACGCTTGGCCTGTGGGGTGACCTGCCATTTCTCATATGCTTATGGTTGTTCATGACCCCCCAAAAGGCCTCATCCTTTTGGCTGAGTCTTGCCTCTGTACTTTAGCAATTTTTCTCAGCCTCTGGCTCTTTTCCATTTAGCAAACTCTGAAATTTCTGCATTCCACTCTGCCGTGGGCGCTAAACACTGCCACTCTTGGATTATGACATGCAGCTGCTTTGCCCCAAGCTACCCCGGGTTCTGGGTTCTGTGCCCTCTCCTGCCCGAGTTAGAGAAAGGAACTCTAAGATTGATAGCCAAGTAGTTAGGGAAGTAAGAGCTTCCATCACTGGCTGGGGCACAGAAAGTGTACGTGGGATGAGATGTGCCAGTAAAAGCAATACTGAGTGCCTTCACCTGAGCTGTGCCCACCTTGGAGATTAAGATGTGTTCAGGTACTTCCGTAGAACCAGTCTGCGAGCTGCCAGGATGCTGTAGTATTGTTAATGACAAACGTTCCACGGAGTCCTCCACCTCTGCGGTGCCCATTCTGTGTCCAGCAAGGCCCCAGATTCAGAGCAGCGTGGACATTCCAGCAAACAGCTGGAATCCTACCCCAGTGTTACTTAGCTTCATAGAGCTCAGGGTTACTTGCCCTCTGTAGAGGGGACAGGACAGGATGGTAGCATCAAACACAGCTTTATCAGGGCCACCTTGGCAGGGCTTCCCAGCCCACAGGGCACACACTCGCCCAGCGGTGAGAAGACTGTACAGTGAGTGTAGGTGAGCCCTGCATGGGATCGGCACAGCAGTTGTCCTTACCCTGGGTAGAAGAGTAACGCACAGACGCTGATGCTCCTGAAAGTCCTTAACATAGTCCTGTAAGAGAATCGCTCAGGGCCTCTGTGCCTGCTCACATCCCTTAGCCAAGGTAAGGCTCTCTGCCAGGGCTGGCTGCCAACAGCCTGGCACAGCTGCCGCGTTCATCTTAACCTGGTACATCTCAAGGGAACAGTGTAAGAAAAAGGTAAATCTGAGGTCATCCTCCCAGAGAGAAAAGGGTGAACTCCTTCTCCTCACTGCCCCACCCTCGTTCCTGGGCCTCTTCCTGACGCGCAGTTTTTAGCAGGAATAAGCTGCAGAACCTCTCATGTGACCAACGAAACCCTGTGTCACCTCTTTAGCAAGGTGACAGGAGTCTGAGCAGTGTCCTTCAGGGAGTCTCGATGCATGCTCCTGCTCTTGCTCCTCCAGGCTGGGGTGGTGGAATAGTCATCGTCTGCTCGGGCTACTCGTGTTGGTTCTGGACAGATTTCGCGGAGGGGGATGGTTTGGGGCTCTTGCCCGTGGATCTCCATGCTCTCTCACCACAGCTGCTTGCAGCAAGAGGTTCCATCAGATTTCCATTCATTTTATTCCTGACATGCTCTTTTCCTCGTGCAAATCTAAAATGTCAGCTCGCTGTGTGCAGCCCGTGTTAACAACTCAGTTGCATATCAATACTGTTTTTTACCCAGGACAAGTTGATGGCTTGGGCCAGGGTCCCCTTGTGCTCCTTTCTCCAGGCTTGGCAATTCAGCAGAACCATTGTTGTTTTCTAATGCTTCTTTTCAGGATGGACCCGCCATCGTGGACTTTTCCATTTTCTGTGTCTTCACAGGACTAATTTCGCTTTCCCCAGCACTGGATGCAGAGTAGATTTCCAACACACAGTGCAACCTGCCCAACATTTAAGAAGCAGTAGATGGCACAGTAATATTACCCTACAGTGATGTCAGCCACAGTGCATATTTCTCTGCCCCAAAGCAACAGCAGCGTTTGTCACCAGCAGCATATTTATCTATATCTCAGACCTTTATACGGAATTCTTTCCCACAAAAAGTACAGTAAAAGTAGAGAAAATAGGAAAGTCTGTGTTTATTTTTCCCTGAGAAAGCATTTCCCATTTCTTTCTCAGAGATATGTATCTAAGGAGAGGACTGAATCTGGTAATACTAGGAACACTGCAAACAGCAATTAACACATTCACAACAGGGCTTTAATTTGTATGTCTCACTGCTGGGTGCCCCTGAGCTACCGGTGGTACATGTGGGACAGTCACACGTGTACCACTGGAGGTTCAGGCCAGTGGGAACACGTTAACAAAGCACCAGGACAGGGGATTCTTTTCTTGTCTTCCAACATTTTCTTGGGTTACCAGAATGCAGTGCTAGAAGTAGAATTACATTTGACCTTAACAGTATTGTTATAATTTTATGCCAAAGTGTGGTTCCATTATCATTTCACAATTTTCAGTGGCCTCTTAATGTAGCTTCTGTGTCTGTTTTCTTTATGGTTGACATAGATGATGAATAAGAGTCATATTTCTAAGCATTTGGTCTGTGCTAGGTACTGTGTAGGCACAGCGCACATCTTAATGCATAATACCCATGTTAGGTACTGTTGATATTCCATTTTGCAGGTGAAAAAGTAGGCACAGAGAGGTTAACAAGGTCACATAGCCAGTGAGGAAGAAAACCTGCCTTGAACTCAATCTGGCCTCAGAGTCCACATTCTTAACCACAGTATTCTGTCTCTGGCACATTTATTGCCTGGCTTTATGCCAGTTATTAATATGCACAATAGCGTTCTGTGAACACAAATGAGGTAACTGTTCATCTTCATGCGTACTATATTGAGATTCTTAATTTTAATCACTCCTTGGTTTTCTCATTAAATTATTGACCTGGCTTGCCTGTCTGTGTACAGCAGCAAATAATGAGGCAGGTGCTTTCAACCCATGAAAGCCACAGCTCCAGTACCTGTTTGCAGATATGGAGAGGTGGCTCCTATCCAGCTGGTTCTGACTTGCCCTGCCTTGGGGGACTTTGCTCCTCATTCCTGTGGGCCCACAGGGAAGGAGGCAGGAGGCGAAGACCTTTGAAATTCCCTTTGGTGCTCTGAAATCTGAGTGCTGAATTCACTTACCTGAGTTCTCTGAGTTCTTTATGTTGTGAGGTTTTGAATTAGAGAGCCTAGTGTACATGCAGGATATCCAAGCTAATCTCACGCCACACCTTCTGTTATTTTTCCCACTGAAATATTTGGGATTTTAGCTTCCCAATGGGATTGACTCATACTGAAAAAATGATCCAGTATTTTTTGTTGCTGCTCATTTGAGTTTCAGAAGTATGACCTCATGATACCTCATTTTAAATACCTTTTAATTGTATTAGTTCATCTTAAGTATTTTCCTTTCATACATATAGTTCGATTTCAGAATGTATTTCACTGTACTTGTTTTTGCTAAAAAAAAAAATCTGTCACTCGTAACATCATCCTTTGGTTGCTTTAACAGCAAATTTTATCACCTACAGGAGAATATTAAAAAGTGAGCCTCCATATCCCCAAGAAATGAGTGCATTAGCTAAAGACCTGATTCAGCGTCTTCTGATGAAAGATCCCAAGAAGAGACTGGGATGTGGCCCACGGGATGCAGATGAAATTAAAGAACATCTCTTCTTTCAGGTGAAATGTGTTGAGCAGATAGTGTTCACGGCCCTGCTGTTGTCAGGGCGCTGGGCATGCTTGCTGAGCAGACTGAGCACAGTTCCTCTGGGGGTCATTTTCCACCTGTTTTCACCTATGTTCGCACTTTTTCTTTTCTCTTTCCTGGTCCTGGGCTTTCAACCCAGAACCTCTGCCCTGAGCTACATCCCCAGCCTTTTTCTTTTTTTTTTAATTTTTATTTTTGAGACAGGATCTCCCTACAATGCTAAATTGCCAAGTTGCCCAGCCTGGGCTTAAACTTTCAGTCCTCCTGCCTCACCCTTCAGTAATGCCCACCATGCCCAGCTTTTTTTTCTTTTTAATTAAAAAAAAAAAAAAAAACCTTTTAGGAAGGTCCACAGTTGTATTTATGTAACCTAAGTAGTCTTTTCCTCAGTGGGAGTGGGGAGGATCGTAATAATAGCATTCCATTTTCTCTGTACTGATCAGTTAGTTTCTGAGAAGGGCTTTTCATGTATGACCTTGGGATTCTGCATAGGGACGAAGGAGTCTTGTTACATTTCATGCTTCTCTGTCGGTCCACAAGCTGTTACTGGCACCGTGTTTCACCTTTTGGATAGTGATTTCATTTCTTCCTCTGTTCCCAGGAAAAATCTAGAAAATTCAAACCTGTTTCTCAGTACACATCTATGGCATATACAGAGTTCTTTATTTTCTTTGTCCCAGTGACTGCTTTTCTTAACGTGAAAAAGCCTGATAGACTGTTCTACTGAGCAATAACACATCTATACAGTTTGGTTTGCTCAAATGAGTCCAAGAATACAACAGATATTAATGACTGGATTGTTTAAGCAGTCAAACTTGGGGTGCCACGGCCTTCTTTTCTAATATGCTAAGCATATGTCCGTTAATACTTTCATCATATCAGCAAGCATGATCTAAATGTTTTTATCATCCATTTTCTTTTTTATTCTGTAAACTAAAACTTCTATGTTATCATCAACAAAAATACACAAAAAATTGTCATGTAAGCACTTTTTATTTATTGCTTCTTAAATATAGAAAAACAAATACTCATTGAAAAAGAACTATCTCTGCATACTTCAGTGCTCAAAAAAGGAACATGTTTACTTCAGCATGTCAGTGTAATCATTTTTTAAAATACTGTAAATTTTACAGAAGTTCAGGGAGAACAAAGGGAGAAATACACTTAGAATAAACATAGTGAGAAATATATTGAGATAAAATGAACTCATTGTGTATTTCATAAATTCATTTGGCTTAGAAGAATTACCATTTGAACAAACTATTTCAAATATCTTATTCATAAGTTTGCCTGAAAGATTAACAATCAAGTAAAATTCAAGGAAGTATTTAACCAAGATACCCTCAGTTATATTTTCCTAGGATCTTTTTCTTCATTATTCCTTATATTTGTGAATATTGCAATATGTGTTTCATGTTAGAAAAATTTCTCCTCTCTTGATAACTTGGAATAGTAATTTTAAACTATTTATTTGCTTTGACTTTTTAAGTGGTAGATAAACTTTTAGAATGACCAGAATTCTATTTGTAAAGACCTAAGTGGCTTTGTCCCCATAAATGGAGCAGGAGTAGGAAGCATCACAGTAGCATTCAATTTTCTGCATCCTAAACATTCTCATGCTAACAACATACTTCTCTAAATTACCCCCTTACTCTAGAAGTTTCTTTTAGAAACTACAATAGCCAAGCACAAATTACATTCTTTTAATGGAAAACATTACAGCCTATAGAAAAAGGAACACTAGCCAGAAAGTCAAGAGACTGCATTTAAATTCTGATTCTTCCGCCAGCTAGGGTGTAAAGCAAAAGGGTCATTCTTACTTCTGAACCTCAATTTCTTTCTGAATCAAATAAAAAAGTGAACTAAATTATCTTTAAAACCTATTCTAGCCGGAAAGGGAAATATAAAGATCTATAATTTAATGATTTTATTTCTTTTGCTCTGCAAAGGAGCATAATAAAGCCATTCTGTGGTAATGATTAAACCTAGTGAAATCCATCAACCAAGAAGTATGGGTGTTTACCACTTACCATCACTGAAAGCAGTATGCATCTTACAGTGAAATCATCTCATGGTCTAATAGTGCTTCTTTCCTTTCTTACGGGTACACTGTATTGTACTATCAGTAATGACATTTTAGCTTTGAAGAAATTTGGTAATGGGAGATCTGTAGAAGCCAGTATTATCTAAGAGTGTTTTAAGGGAAAAAGGAACATAAAGAAACAATAGAGGGTTGAATTTGAATACTATAAAAGAATGTCAGTTACCCAGTAAGTGTCTAGTAAGGGTCCAAAGGGGAACGTGGCTCATCCTGCAGGGGAGGTAAGAGACCGTGGCTAAAACTCTTGAACACACTTGAATGAGGAAAGAGCAGTTGCATCGCTGTAATAGTATCATTCAAACTTAGGGGCATAAGCAGGTGCTTGATTAAGAGTGAATATTTTTTAATCTGTGTAGATGACCCAGAGTAAAAACAAATACAAGGGAGATCTCAAGTTAACACTGCCTCTAGAAAAAAAAAATTATTTCTTTAGAGTTAATATCCACAGAACATTTTATTTTTAGGCGGCTTTGCCAGAAGGCTCAGGACAAAAGTAATTTTTCTGGTATTTCTAATGGTGAACTAGGGTGTGTTGGTGCCCCCTAGAGGATACTGTGAGACTCCAGGGGTGGGGAGCAGGCTCGCTTTCAGACAGCCTCTGCTCCAGCTCTGTCCACAGCTAGAAAACCGGAGGCGGGGTGGGTCGTCAACTTCAAATACATGCCGTTATTTTTAACTTTTTGCCCAGTTAACCAATCAACATACTAATCTGTCTTTGTTATTAATAGGAAATATATAAAAATTTTATTCACTTCTGCTTTTTACCAATTCTCTTTTTCTGCTTTAGAAAATAAACTGGGATGACCTAGCTGCCAAAAAAGTCCCAGCACCATTTAAGCCAGTCATCCGAGACGAATTAGATGTGAGTAACTTTGCCGAAGAGTTCACCGAGATGGACCCCACCTATTCTCCCGCCGCCCTACCCCAGAGCTCAGAGAGGCTGTTCCAGGTAATCTCCCAGGTGCCCATGTCTGCTGGCCACGTTGCTTTGGGAGAAGAGATCAGTTTTCCCATATTAAAGTCATTTTGTTGGCATCTTAAAACTGGGGTTCTTGCCAGGCGTGGTGGCGCACACCTGTAATCCTAGCACTTGGGAGACTGAGGCAGGAGGATCATTGTGAGTTCGAGACCAGCCTGGGCTACATAAGTGAGTTCAAGGCCAGCCTAAACTGCATAGTGAGACCCTGTCTAAAAAAAAAAAAAAAAAAAAAAAAAAAACCTGGGGTTCTCTAATCTTCAGAAGTACTAAGTACAGAGATATTTCAGATTGCTAAGTGAAGTTAATGGTTGCTAAATAGAAGATATTATTTGTGCATTTCTTTTTGTGTAAGGAAATACTAATTTTATACCTAAAATTTTATTTTTATTCAGGCCCTTTTATAGAAATTACAATATTGCTTTATTTTTATCTGAATTCATGTAAAATATTATTTAGTTCATAATGTGTGATTTTTTTTATCTTCAGTGAATTATCTTACTGCTTTGCCACTCATGAAGACTGAGAAAGAATTTTATATATAAAAAAGTTTTTTATCAGACTGAAGATAAATAGTCTATTAACCAGCACTCCTCTATGTGCTGTAGTGCAATTTAACCTGACCATCCAGGCTGTGTCTTCTCCTCATTTCATCTAGCATATGACCACACACTTAGCTGATGTTTGTTAATGAGCTAGTGAATGCTCCAACTTGAACAGATTAATCATCCATCATGATATCACTTCCGGCTCACCACATCATTGTGTCATTAGGTTTGTTCCTTTTCACAACCCAATGTTAAATTTAACTATTTTAAGAAATAGAGTTACATGTCAAATAATTGCCAAATTAGAAACTAACTTTAATGAAAATTGTTATTTTTCTAGTTTGAAACCCAGTAGCACTGGTATTTTCTAGTTTGAAACTTAGGCTACTTTGTTTAATACGTTGACTGTATCTTTTTTGAAAAATCAGTTATGTTTATAAGCAAACAGTTGTCAGCAAAAAGCAAAAGAAGTATAGCTCTGAGTCAGTTTTGGAGATAGGCTAGGAAAGAAGTATTTTTCTGCCTTTATTATTGAATTGGTTTACTTCTGCCAGAAGATGGCATTATCTCCTTCTGAAAAGCATTTTTCTATTTAATTAATGTAACTCTGCATTTGGGATTGCAAATAAAATGAAATTAGATTCATTGCAACAATTACCTGAGTGTTTTTAAAAAATCATCTTAATCTAGTCTGTGCTGAACTACAAAATGGCAAGTCTTCATTCTTTACCTTTGCTTCTCTTTTTTAGGGCTATTCCTTTGTTGCTCCTTCTATCTTATTCAAACGTAACGCAGCTGTGATAGACCCTCTTCAGTTTCACATGGAAGTCGAACGTCCCGGAGTGACAAATGTTGCCAGGAGTGCCATGATGAAGGTATAGACACGTGGTCACTTTGTGGTTTGCGTGAATGTTTAAATATTAATACTAATTTTTTCATGTTCCATAAATTTAATAGGTTTACCATGCAACTAATGTACAATTTTAGAAGATTAGTAAACAAGTGAAAATAGCAGTTATTTGCCCTACAGAATTATTAACATCAATTTGAACTCCTTTTTATACAGAGATATGTATCTTAATGATATAGATGAAAATATAAATAATATGAATAGAAAAGAGATGAATTTTAAATGTTAAATACATTTCATTCATACTTATTAATATTAATAATGTTATATTACTTTATAGTTTTACTTATCCCTTATGTATTATTACTAACCTTTTCTTAACTGAAATGATGTTGGTTTCTTACCAGGACTCTCCATTCTACCAACACTATGATCTAGATCTAAAGGACAAACCACTAGGAGAAGGAAGTTTTTCAATTTGTCGAAAGTGCATACACAAAAAAAGTAACCAAGCATTTGCAGTGAAAATCATCAGCAAAAGGTGGGCCCATTTCTTAAAGTCTTGCTCTTATATTGATCCCAGTCAATGAATTCATAAATTAAGAGGATTTTGTTGAAAACACAGCCAACAATATATTGTGAGCCTTTGAGCTTCACCACTGGGCTCATTAGTTGATTCAGTATACTTTTAGACCCAATAAATACTTTCTTGTAAACTAGTTCATTTTTTATATTAATTATAATCTGTTATACATTGGAGGTTATTATGGGAAAACTTTCTTATATAATACATTTAATCAGACTTGCTTAGTGATTTCAGTAGTTTTTACTCTTTCAATTAGTTAAATCTGTGGTGTATTTTTCTCTGAAATTACTTGACAGGCTACTGATAGTTTTGATAATCACCTTGTTTTTGTTACTGATTATTACTTGCATGATTGTGTAGTCTTTTTTTTTTCCTGTACTGAGGATTGAATCCCAAGCCTCACATGTGCTAGGCGAGTGTTGGGTCACTGAGGCATGTCTCCAGCCCATGATTGTATAGTCTTATTACCAAACTGCTGGGCAAATAGAGCATCCCTTTTTTCATATGACTGGCTCTTTCTTGGATCCAAATAATTTTCTCCAAAAAAAAGTCCTAACTTTTCTGGTGAGTGATTTGATTTGTTACTTTTATGTAAACTTGTTCTGCTACTTTGATACTATATTCTGAATGAACTGTAAATAGATCAAAATTAGGGCTGGGCCAATACTGTTATTCAGAACTTGTTTGAAGAGACATGTAGATGCTAACTCCTTCATCTTATAGGATGGAAGCCAATACTCAGAAAGAAATCACAGCTCTGAAACTCTGTGAAGGACACCCCAATATCGTGAAGTTGCATGAAATTTTTCATGATCAGGTATCCCACATGTTCTTTTCTGTGCATGCTAATTAAATCACATACAGGTTCTGTTTCTCACCAGTTTTGTGGGTCTGCTGCGTCAGAGTCAGGAATATGGGACATCACCAACCACTACGAAGAGCAGAGAAGCCACCACACACACTCTTACCCACCCCCAAATCAGTTCATCCTTGCACCTCTCCTGCTTTCCTCGCTCATTCCCACATGTGCCATGGGAAGAAGCCAGGGGCAGGAGCTCAGTGGCACTGTCACAGGCTGCAGTGTGCTTTTTGCCAATGCAGCTGCTACTCACCGTAGTTCAGTGACCACACAGTGGCACACCTCTCAGTACCTGGGAATTTTGAGTCTTCAATTTTCTTTTCACTTCTAGAGTAGAGTAGTTTTAATCCAAATTACTGCAAGCTAAAGGACAAATAGGAAGAAGGCCAAAGATACTCCCGTCCATCTTCTTACTCCAGGTGGCACATTTTCCTGAGCCGCCAGCCGGGTCCTGCTACCCACTCTTCCACTTGCTTTCTAACAGGAAGCTAACAGGGAAGCGTGTCACTTGGGTTATTGAAGGAGCGCCATCGTATCAGGTCCGTGTCACCACTCAGCCCCTCCCACTGCCACCTGTCAAGTTTGAAATTGCTCCATTACAGTATTGTTTCCACCTAAGACTGGGAGGGATGACACAGTCCTTCTCAAGACAACATGGACACACAGGAGCTAAAAGCAGTCCTGAATGTGCTGTGCCCTTTTTCACCCATGAAGCATCTGAGATTCCCAAGGGTTAGGAGACTTGTACCAAGATCACGTAATGAGGGAGTGAAAGTCCAGTAGGGAAAATCTGGTGTGCAGTTCTGGGCTGTCCTCACTGTACTCTTGTGACATCCTTGACTAGAAGAGCTGGAATTCAACTCTCCAGCACAGCTTTTGCTCTCTTAAAGTACTATGACCAAGAATGGCATGTTATAAGGTCAGGCAGCAGCAGGAGTAGCCTTTGTAACAACTGATCTATAATAACTGCTGCACCGGACATCTTCACATGTTACCAGAGTCCTTACCTTACCTCTTCCAGTGAGAAAACAGAAACTCACAGAAGTTCAGTAATAGTCTCACAGTTTGTAAGTGATTAAGGCTAGGACCTGAGCCCAAGCCGTTCAACATCAGCACCCACCCACCTTGTAACCATTGTACTGTCCCACCTTCAGGGAGGCAGAAACATAGCCTGGTTTTTATATTGGGCAGTCTGGACCCAAGCTGGCATTACCTCCTCCTTGCTCGTTCTCACAGTCAGAAAAGGGTCACCTCTGAAGCAGGGACTCAGCAGGAACCACTCTTCTTGCTCCTCTGTGGCCCCCCCACTTCATTGAGCTACTCAATTCTAGTGGAGATAGTGAGTGTTCTGTCCACTGGCATTGCTCAAGAAGAGACTGGATGAAGCAGATGAAGAAATTCACATATCAGCCTAGGTACCCGTGCGTGTCCTTAGACACCCCGCTCTGGGGTTCTGCAGCTGTGCCACCGGCTGTATCCCAACCAAGACATTGAGTATTCGGCCTTCAGGCTGATGGCAGAGCTCAGGAATTGTATCCCTAATTTTTTACTTAGGTCCCAAGTTGATTCCTTGCTATTTCTATATTCACAACTTACTAGAATATGAATCGTCCCATGACATAATTTTCTGCACATTACTATAAATACATTATTCTTATGTGCAGTTGCTGAAATGTGTACATTGGGTTTTTCCTATGATGGTGATACAGTTGTTTAGATCATCCCCATCCACCGTCTTTTCAATAGGACAGTTTGTTTTATGTGCCGTGATTTGTGCTTTATGCTCTCCGATAGTTTTCTGTTGCTGTTGTAAGAAATCACCATGAGCTTAAAACAATACACATTTATCCTAGTCTGCAGCTGAGAAGTCCAAAATCAGTCTCATTGGCTTAGAGTCCAGGTATTGGCAGAGCTGGTTCCTTTTAGAGGCTCATGCACCGTTTGTTTACTTGCTGTTTTTAGCTTCCAGAAGACTCCCACGTTCCTTAACTGCTACACCGTCCTTAACTTGTGACCCTTGAACTTCCTTAACTGCTGCACTGTCCTTAACTTGTGACCCTTTTGTGCCATACTTGAATGTCTTGTTTGTGTTGTCCCATATCAAACAGACCCTGAGGAATAATTCAGGATGGTCTTCCCATCTCAGTATCCTTCACTAATCACATCTGCACAGTCCCTTTCAGTATATACGGTAGCAGCCACAGGTTCTGGGGAGATAGACATCTTTGGAGAGCCGTCATTCTAGATACCGTACATACATTTTCTCATTGTATCTACAGTTTATTGGTAAGGGTTCTCAAGTTCATAGAGGTAAAGTAGCATTCCCAAAATCATAAGGAAGAGAAGTGGCTTTCAAACCCCAGCTTGGTTTTTGTCTTGAAGCTCACTGGCCTGTCCTCATAGTAAGTATTTAGTATTCACTGTAGAAACACAAATTAGTTTGATCTGTAACACCCTGGGAGTAATATTCTTGCTAAAAATGATGTTCACTCTTTACAGTTTGTCCAGTATTCTTAGGATGATATAGTTACAGTTGTCTTTATGGAGCAGTTTTTCTGAGTTTTGCTAAATCTGGAAACATTTGTTGAATGCTCTTGGCGCTGCAGTGCATAGTACCTGGACCCAAATATTGACATAATTTATTCTTTTTTCTTTTTTAATCTTTTTAAGACAAGGTCTCGCTATGCAGTTCAGGCTGGCCTTGAGCTCACTTGGTAGCCCAGGCTGGCCTTGAACTAGCAACGATCCTCCTGCCTCAGCCTCCCAAGTGCTGGGATTACAGGCGTGCGCCACCACGCCCAGCTGACATACTTTATTCTGAACTATTTGTGTTAACTTAAGAAGTGGTGTAAGTCCTTTGTCTTTCAGTAGCTCCTATGTTATTTTCTCTGTGGAAACATATGCAAAACTTATATATAACATAAAGAATTGAAGATAATACTGTTGCGGTCAAAACCAGTTACAAAAAAAGGGAAAGAAATAGAGATTGGGAATGTAGTTCAGTGGTAGAGCATTTGCATAACATGTATAATGCCCTGGGTTTATCCCACGCAGCGAAGAAAAACAAACAACAAAAAGCATCTTTTAAAAACTCATATCCTGTAAGTTACAGGGCATTTGCGGTATTAACAGGAACCCCAAGCTAACTGCTGACCCTCTAAAATAATCAAGCAATATTTTTTTGAAAAGTAAATTTCCTGTTCAGTGGGTGTGCCAGGTTTGATGTGGGCAGTGGCCCACACCTAATTGGTAATCTTCTATGTTACAATTCAAGATTATTGTCAGTACTGGGTCCCACTTTAAAAAGAGAATGTGTAAACTCAAGAGAGAAAGTTGGAATGGAATTCAGATGCAAGAATTGGTCAAGGAAAGGGTATTTGAAGATTTCGTTACAGTAGTTGAAATTTTCCATTACCAAAATAGGATTTTTAAAAAGCCTCTTTATCCTTCACCTCTTTCCTCTAAAATTTGAGGAGTACTGTTGGTTATTTGAATGAGGGATTATTTAAATTTACCAGTAATGTAGTCAATCAGCATTTTATGTTAGTAGACTTATACCTCTTTTTATGAAGACTCTCCAATTATTACTTTTTTTTGTTTCTAGCTTCATACATTCCTGGTGATGGAACTTCTGAATGGGGGAGAGCTGTTTGAACGCATCAAGAAAAAGAAACACTTCAGTGAGACAGAAGCCAGCTTCATCATGCGGAAGCTCGTTTCAGCTGTGAGCCACATGCACGATGTCGGAGTGGTGCACAGAGATCTCAAACCTGAGGTAGAAAGCACTGTGATTGCTTCTGTAGTTAAACCGAGTACCATTATTAAATATCCTGCAAATAGATGTGGGAGCTTCGGGTGATTGTTTTTTTTCCCACTAGGGCTCTGAAGTAGATGCTTGAAAACATGCTTCTTACGTTTCTTTCTCCTTTTCTATGTCACTCTAAAATAAATTTGTCATCTTTTTGCCAGCTGATCATCTTGAAGTTATATTTGTAAGTGTGAGAGCCTTTCATGGAAAAAATACTTTATGCAACAGTTGTGGACTAAAAATAGCAGTGGAAAATTTTGTAGCAGAAAATATTATCCCTTCTATATTCCATTTTAGAGAGGATTTTTTAAAATAATGTATTCTTAAAGTTTATTTTTCACATTTGTAATCAAATCAATTAGCTCTGAGGAGAAATGTATATAGTTCTATTCTATATACTTGCACACAAAGCACTGTCGTGGTTTCATAAAGAATTATGCCATTTTTATATGTGCTTTTCTTTGCTCAAACTGTAATATTTATAGAACTGTGCAGCAATGCAAAACGAGCAGCTTTTTATATATTTCTTCTTTCAAAGGTTATTAAAGAAAGTTCTAACTCAGAAAGATCCCTCATTAGTATCAAAACTGTGAAAAATCCTCCTTTTTGAAAATCAGCACAGCAATAATGTAAATTAAAAACAAAACCAGTAATTTATAAAAAGAAAACAAGTGAATCATCCTTTACCCTATGCAAAACTATATGTACTTTTTTCTCCAAAATAGAACTTAGTTTTGTTCCCATGTGACTATGTGTTTCAAATATATTTAAATTATTAATGTATTTGGTGTTTCTTTTTTGTTAAACCACAAAAGAATATTTCTCTAAAGGCACTATTCTTTGCCTTTTAAGAATATTGAGTTATTAGAGGAGGAGGATGTTTTAAAAATGGAAATCTAGTCATTGAAATATACAGTCATCCCATAGTATCCTTGAAGGATTAGACACAGGATCTCCAGCAGATACTCAAATCCAGGGATGTTCAAGTTCCTTATGTAAAATGATATATTATTTGCATAAATACACGAACTTTCCATATTCTTTAAATCTTCCCTACATTACTTATAATACCTAATGTAATGTAAGTGCTAGGTAAGTAGTTGTTAGCTGGGCGTGGCGGCGCACACCTGTAATCCCAGCACTCAGGAGGCTGAGGCGGGAGGATCACTGCGAGTTCGAGGCCAGCCTGGGCTACAGAGTGACCTCAAGGCCAGCCTGAACTGCATAGTGAGACCCTGTCTCAAAAAAAAGACCAAAACAAAGTTGTTATGCTGTATTGGTTAGGGCACAATGGTAAGAAAAAATGTGTTCTGTATAGCTGCAATTTTTTTTTTAAGTTTTTGTTCCTGGGTTGGTTGAACACACAGTTCCAGAACTCACAAATATGGCAGACTGACTATAGTTGATTTATTTCTTTAAAGTATTTAAACTTCTGTCTGTGTACTTTATATTACTGTCATGCACATGACAAGTAATTAATCCAAAGTGAATTGTGTTTGTGAACTTGCAGCTATGATAGCTCCCCCTCTGCTTCCTTCATCAAAGTTCTCACTCTCCTACATGACGCCCACTGAAAATATGGTGCTCTGTACATGGGAGATTAGCTGTCTATTTTTAAATGTGAAAGCACACCACTTAAATGTTTTCTTGATAGACAAGGAACAGGCATGTAGGTTTTTTTTAATGGAAAAGATCTGTTCCATGACTGTATAAAATTCATTTTCACATGTTTTATTCTTTGATAACTGGCCATCTGTCATCTCCTGAGTCTCAAATGAGGCAACTGTCCTCTGCAGTAGAATTTAAATACGCCTTCCTACTTTCCTGATAAAAAGATACTGTGTAGCTTAATTCTTCTTTTCTTTCTTTTGAAATGAAGCAGAATTGTCAGATTATTGAAGACATTTTACTGTAGTTGTAATCTTAAACTGAACCAGATTTTAAAGAAATGATAGAGTTTCTTTGCACTAGCAACTTCATAGTCATATAGCTTTCACTTTGACCTTTAAATAGCATAGTATATTATTTTCAACTAAAGGTTTAATCCCTTTCCCATGCAGCATTTTAAGATCTGATACTTTATCTTTTGGTTATGCGCCTTTCATTTTCCACATAGGCAAAATTTTAAGTTCTAAGTGAAAATCAGATAAATTTAGAAGCAGGCTGACATTCTTAGTAGGTTGCTTCGTATTTTTCAAATTGGCCGTGTGCTCATGAAAGATTAGGAAAAGTTATATATATGAAAGTAGTTTCCAGTAGAACAAGAAATGAACGGAAGAGGGGATTGATCAGGTACTTCCCGCCATGCCTGGCCTTATCTAGTCCACACATCTCCACTCACTCAGTGCATCAGGAGAGCAGGTAGGCAAGTGGTGCTCCCATTTTTACATGCTTCAATAGGAGGAATCAATGAAGGTCACCAGTGAAGGTGAATGCCCCTTTCCTCATTGCCTGCGCGTCCAGAACTAAATCAGGGAAGTCCTCCTCCGTTCCTACTATGGAATAATGTAGGGGCTCTCCAAGGCCGCAGCAGGCTGCACTAAAAAGGGGGCAGGTGTGCTGCTCACTGCTCTGTGTAGCGCAGTCCCTGGTGCTGCAGAGGGCTTAAAGTGCTAATTGCTGAAAGAGAACATCCACCAACCCCAGCCGCGGCTCCAGTTGTCACAAAGTAGGTATTAAGGGTTGCATAACAGAAATTTTAAGAAATTCAGTTAATTTTTTGCTCTTCTTTCCTCCTATTTTATTCTTTGTCAGCTTTTAAGTGGAAGGCTTAAAGATTTTCCTCCTTTGCATGAAAGAAGCTATCTGTGATGTCTTGTATTTCAACTAGAATAGTATTAACAAAGCAAATTATATTCCAAAGCTAGGAATAATTTGATCAATATAAAGGCAACAACAGTATAATCAGATTCATTTACTTGGAGTACTGACTGGATGTACAGGTTTAAATGATTTGTACATCAATACAGTTAACATTTATTAAGTATATGGAAGGCATAAAAATAGTACAGGAAAGCCTTAGTGATCTAGAAGTCTGAGTGGATGTATGATTCAAATAACAGTGTCATCTTAATATTTGAGGTATAGCCTTAAACATCAGAACATGTTTAAGTATTAACTGTTTGGGAAAAAATATTTCTAAAAATGAAATGCATGCCTGTACCATGTTTTCTTTAATAGACTGTCCTAAAAATTGTGTAGCTTTTTTATTACTTTATTCAGTAAACAAATAATGTATACCTCAGGATTATTGTAGATTTGGCTCCAGACTACCACAATAAAGTGAAGGTTACAGTAATACAAGTCATGGGAATTTCTTGGTTTTTCAGTGCATATAAAAATTATTTGTGCAATATAAAAATTTGTGCATATAAATTTGTGCATATAAAATTTGTGCATATAAAAATTATGTGCAATAGCATTGTCTGAAAAAAATATACATACCTTAATTTTAAAATATTTTATTGCTAAAAATTTCTAATGGCTCTCTATGCCTGCAGTGAGTCTTAATCATTTCACCAGTGCAGAGTCCGGCCTGGATGTTGATAGCTGTTGGCTGATCAGCATTAGGGTGATGGTGGCTGAAGGTGAAGTTGCTCCATTGACTAATTGTCCTTTTGTGAAAGATTTCTCTGTAGCGTGTCATTGCTGTTTTATAGCATTTTATCCACAGTAGAATTTCAAAGTTGGAGTCCATTTCTTTCAAATTCTTGTTAATGTTCCTATTTTGTCCTCCTCCCATGCAAATGTTAAGTTGTCTCTAGAATAGCAAATCCTTTCCAGAAGGTTTTCAGGTTACTTTGCCCAGATCCATCAGAGAAATCACTCTCCCTGGCAGCAGTAGGCTTATAAAATATCTTTCTTAAATAATATTACTTGACTGGAGATGTAGCTCAGAGGCTAAGCACTTACCTACCATGTATGAGGCCCTGGGTTCAATTCTAGTATTGCAAAATACACACACACACACACAACACACACACACACACCACACACACAAAAAAAAAAAAAAACAGATAAGACTTGAAAGTCAGATTTACTGCTTGATCCATGTGCTGTGGAACGCATGCTGTGCAAGCAGGCAGATGACAACATCAATGTTATACATCTCTGCTTGGGCTCTTGAGTGGCCAGGTGCATTGTCAATGAGTGGTGATATTGAATCTTTTTGCCTGAGCAGTTGGTCTCAACAGTAGGCTTAAAATATTCAGTAAGCCATGCTGTAAATAGATAAGTTGTTAATCCAGCTTTGTTGTTTGTTTTGTAGAGCACAAGCAGAGTAGATTTTGTATAATTCTTCAGGGCCCTAGGATTTTTAGAATGCTAAGTGAGTATTGGCCTCCCCTTGAAGTCATCAGTTGCTTTAGCTCCTCCTAAGAATCAGCCTGTCCTTTCAAGCTCTGACTTCGCTACAGCTGTGAAACTCCTAGCAGGTGTCTTCTCCAGCAGAAGGTTGTTCCATTTCCAGTGAAAGTCTGTTTGGCATGGCCACCTCCATCAGTGATCTCAGCTAGATCTCTCACTACCTTGCTGTGGCTTCCACAGGAGAACCTCCTACTTCACCTTGCACTTTTATGTTGTGCAGACAGTATCTTCCTTTAGTCCTCGTGAACCAACCTCTGCCAGCTTCGGCTTTTCTTCTACACCTTCCTTATCTCCTTCAGCCTTCATGGAATTAAAGACTTAGGCCCTTGCTCCTCTTTAGACTTCGGCTTTAGGGAAGGTTGTAGCTGATTTAGTCTTCTAACCAGGCCATTCAGACTTTCTTCATGTCAGCAATAGGGGTCTTCGCTTTCTTGTTATTTTTGTGTGCACTGGAGTAGCACTTTTGATTTCCTTCAAGAATTCTTTGCCTTTGTATTCACTGTTTGGTTAACTGTTTGGGCAAGAAGCCTAACTTTCAGCCTCCTTTGGCTTTCAGCATGCCTTCCTCACTAAACTTAATCATGTCTAGCTTTTTATTTAGAATGAGAGTCATAAATCTCTTCTTTCAGTTGAACACTTGGGGACCATTGTAGGGTTATTGCTTGGCCTGATTTTAATATTGTTGTGTCTCAGGGACTGTATCAATAATGTACACAGAGAAAATGTTCTATAAATGGGAGCAGCAGATCCCTTGACATTTTAATGAGAAACTAACTGAAGTATTGGTATCTTACAGAATTTATTGTTCACTGATGAAAATGACAACTTGGAAATTAAAGTAATCGATTTTGGGTTTGCACGCCTCAAGCCCCCTGACAATCAGCCGCTGAAGACCCCGTGCTTTACCCTTCATTATGCAGCCCCAGAACTCTTGAATCATAACGGCTATGATGAGTCCTGTGACCTGTGGAGCTTGGGCGTCATCTTGGTGAGTTCATCTTAATAATCTCTACACCTGCCCCGTGCTTTCATGTCCTCCGTATTCCATACTTAGTGTATCTGTGCCCCCCTGCTGTTTTTCTTAAATTTATGGGAAAAATTGACAAATTGGTTTCTGTACGACCAGTAAAAGGCCTTGCCAAAGAGTATTTCCATTTCTTAAAACTTAATTTGGTTTATTTTGAAATACTGAAGTTACCTGTGACTTATATGAATGGAATACATAGTTCTTTAAAAGAAGTGATAGTGTGTTTTCATGACACGTACTATATTGGATATAATGTGAAAATAGCAGAATTATCTGTTAATACAAAAACATTTTAACTTCTGTGAAATTTTGGACTGAAAATATAATTAAAATAATTTAGGATAAATTAATGATTTAATAGCCCAAACCAGAAATATTTATGGCAATTTATAGTAATCATGGTGAGCACACTTTCCAAAAATTCGCCTGGCTGCTTTGATCAAAAACCAAACATAAGCTAGAAAAATCTCAGCATGTTTTTACCTCAAAATAGCTTTACTTTTTCTGTAGATAATTTGTAATGCATGTTCTTAGGGGAAATTTTTAGACAGTGCAGCAAGACAGGAACAAAGTGAAAATCACTCATAATTTTACCATTCAAACATGTTTTTCAAGCGTCCTTCTCCCACCAGCTTCCCCTCCGTATACCTGTATGTGCTTTATACATTTCTGCCTGTTTTGCTATACATGTATGTATATGTGAGGTTTTGGTAAATGGAGCTTTATTATACATGCAGTTTGAGTCTCCAAAATTTATTTAACCATTTCTTTACTAATGAAAAATTAGCATTTTTCCATTTTTCTCTGATTATAAACTCTACAATAATGAATATTTTTATAGACATATTTGCATTTGTCTCATTATTTCATCAGGATAAATTCCCAGGAGAAGAGTACACATGTTTTTATTTCAGCATAATACCTAGATTACCTTCTAGAAAGATTTACTGGGTTACATTCCAATCATACGCAAGTACATTAGATGCTATCAATCGGATGCTATGCTACATTGAATGCTATACGAACCCACTGTTCTTATAATCTACATGCATTTCTTTGATAAATATTCAGTTTGACTATCTCTTCATGCCTTTGGGTATTTGTATGTTCCTTTTCATGAACTTCTCTTTATGAGCTTTGCCCATTTTCCTACAGGGAAACTTTCCTTACTAAATTGTAAACCTCTATTAAGGATTTTAATCCTTCGTCTAACATCAAAATTGGAAATGTTTTTCTGGCTTATCCTTGGTTTGGAAACTTTGTTTATAATAATAGGAGATTTGGGGTTTATTTTTAGAGGGGTTTACTTGGAGAGCTTGCTGTGTTTTGTGTTTGTTTTTCCACATATTAAGATACGTCAGTCTTTTCCTTTACGGTGTGTGGCTTCGATGTTAGATTGCCACTCCACACCTACCCTTAACCCAATATTATAAAAATATTCTCCTAAATTTTCCTCTAGAATTACTCCGTTCTATTTTTATCCTTCAATCTGTACTCCATCTGGGGTTTATTTTGGTGTTAGTTTGTTCCCCTCATTGGCCAGCCACTTGTTCCTGCAGAATGCTGCTGCTTTATTTTTAAGCTTTAAGTGACTTTCATCTGAGCTGTTTTAAATCATCATTTATTATTTTCAAACTAAAGTTATTTATGAATAAGATTATTCTTAGTAAAAGTAAACAACTATATTCTGTAGATTCAAGAGTTACAAGGGCTTAAATTGATAACATTTTTATTAGTAACAATGCCTTTAATTTTGAATATTAATTTTCATTTCTGTATTAAAAGAACGCATTTCACATCTAGGCTACTTATGATCATCAAACTCTTGAAAATGTTAAGGGTCTTAGACATACAGAAATGTATTTTGGAACCTTTGTATGTCGTTTCCGTGGAAAGAACTTTCCATAGCTGCATGGATGGAAGCATTGCTCCTTCTAGATCTGCTTGTCAGAGTTTTAAGAAATACAGGATACAAACTAGATTAGATAGTACCACAGAATACAATTGCAATGTTTGGAGGACTGTGGCAGCGCCTAAAGACAGGCCACCAATTTCTTCAGCAAATAAATTGTGAGAAAAGAATGTGGGAATCTATATTTCAAAACACTTAAGAAACAATGTTTATAAGATTGTTTATAAGAATCTTCCTCAGATTCTTATTCAAGCAATTTGTAATTTAAATTCATTTATTAAATTCAAATTCTAAATAATTCATGTAGGTATGATTGCAGTACATATACAATGTATAAAGCACAATGAGGGAAATGTAAGCAATGATTAGATACTGAATTACAGCAAGGAATGGCCCATAGTTTTTAGGTATGATGTTGGGTTATGGTTATGGTTGGTAGAAGTCTTGCCTTTTAGAGATACATAATGAAATAGTTGCAGGAGAAAATGAACAGCATTAGCACCTGCATTAAACTGTAGGGTACGCATTGCAAAGTGAATGCAGATCTTTAGACATATACATACCAAGCCTGAGTTATCCCACAGCAAGCACAAAATTTATTTGGAGTTTCCTGATTTGTCTTTGAAATGTGTGGCCCTTTTGCATTTTGCATCTGATAAATGTGAATATGAACATTTTAACATGAAACTAAGTTATGTGACCCTCATCAAATAAAATCAGTATTCCAGGAAAAGACGTCTGCATGTCCTATGTAACTTCGATTACAACAGTATATGCCATACATGTACAATTCCTGTCTGAAATATACAGAACTTTAATTAAAATATGTTTACATAGCATATTAAATTGCCTATGCTGCTATCACAAAATATCACATGCTGAGTGGCTTAAACGACAGCATTTTCTACAGTTCTGGAGGCTGAACAGACCAAAGTCAGGCTGCTGGCAGCATTGGTTATATTGGGGTGTACCCTCCCCTTGAGTTACATCTGGCCACTTGCTTGCTGTGTGCTCACACAGAGAGCCCTCTGGTGTCCACAGTTTTAAGGACATAATCCTGCTGGATCAAACCCTATCTGTATAACTTCATTTAACCTTAATTGCCTCCATAAAGGCCCTATCTCTAAATATGGTCATATGGAGGGATACAGGTTCAAGTTATAAATTTAGGAGGAAACACAAAAGTTCAGCGCTTAATACACAGGTTTTAGAAAACGTAAGATAGGATCTGTAACATACCTGTGCGGTGATGATGCATAATTCCATTTAATATATATTTTCTGCAAGTATTTTATTCTTGAGACCTTAGTTTTTCATTCTGTTCCCAAAATTTTATTTTGAAAATTTAAAAACTACAGAATATAGAATAATGCTGCAAACATGTAACATTTGCTACTTTTATTTTTCTAATTTTCTCTTGTGCACATACATGTCCTCATAGACATGTACAATACATAGAGACAGACATGCATATAGATATATCTGTACTTATATACACACAGGTGTATCTCTGTGTTTTTTGTTACACCATTTGCAGACAATTTGTACACAGAAAATTATTCTTTCTTTTTCCCCTGCTACAGAGGATTGAACCCAGATCCTTCACACAGAGCTACCTCCTGAGCAAGCTGGACTAGAACTTGCAGTCCTCTTGCCTCAGCCTCCCAGAGTGCTGAGATTACAAGCATGCGCCACCACGCTCGGCTCAGAAAATTACTTTCAACAGGAGTTGATTGCTGGATAATTAACTAAAATTGTAACATCTTACTCCTTTGCGAAGAGGGAACTACTGTAATTATTAAAATGGTTTTCAATTTTGGTATCATAAAAAGCCATACTACTTTATTTATGAGTCTTAAAATGTGTTTATTACTTCAGCGATAAAATCACGTACTTTTAAACCCAATAATACTAGTTGTAATAGTTGGCAAATGATGCTGTTTAAGTTAGTAATAGGCTTACTGGAGTGGCTTGGATGGTGATCTTGGCAATCATTCTGTCTTATTTTTTTCCACGATAGTACACAATGTTGTCAGGGCAGGTTCCGTTCCAATCTCATGACAGAAGCTTGACGTGCACGAGTGCAGTGGAAATCATGAAGAAAATTAAAAAAGGAGATTTCTCCTTTGAAGGGGAAGCCTGGAAGAATGTATCCCAAGAGGCTAAAGATTTGATCCAAGGTAAGAATATTATGAAATTTGATATTCTGCATCATGTGTCCTGACTAAAGTAGAATCATACCCATTACACATATGTGTGTTCATAAATTATTCAAGTAATCCACCTATGTCCTGAGAGGCTTACCAGGCTACTGTCTTCAGCCTTGTTTTCTTATTAGAACACTCCCGCACTGGTCTTAACCACATTTCCAACGTAAACTGGAGCTTGGCTTCCACTGGCATCTTCAGCCTCCCATCCAAAACAAACCTATACTTTTCTGCCCTCTTTTCCCCTAACCATGTTCCTCCTCCTGTCTCCTTCTCTTAGAAGGCAGCACTGCCCAGAAACAAGGTCACTGAAACGAGCACCTTGGCATCACCTGGCCGCCCGCACTGTCCCCGCCTTCCACAGCCTGTCAAGTAGCTCTGCAGGTTCACTAACCACCCCTTCCCATTCACAGGCCCTTTCCTTTATTCTTGCCATCATTGCTCTGGCTAAAATCCTGCAGCATCCTTTCAACATGTCTCACTTCCTCTGATTTTACCTGTCCATCATCTATGACCAGAGTGACAAATGTGACCGTAACTCTTTTCGGGTAAGAATCCTTTGGAGAATTTCTGCTAGCTTCAGGTGAGACTCCTTATCCTAGTGTTCAGAACGTAAGCCTGCCTTCTGCTTCCTTGTCACCCTGGCCATATGGAATACTTGAATTCTTTAAATGTGTCAAGTATTCAGGTTCCTACATTTCCTTACACTTGCATTTCTTAATCATTGGAGCCCCTCGTCATCTACCCCACTTCTCACCTGGAAGACTTCCAGGACTCCCAGCCCCATAGGTTCGGCCCTTCCCGTGGGCCTGCTTCCACACTCTGCACTTGTCCCCTCACGTTAGAACAACTGTGTGTTTATCTGTGTCGCCTCCTTGTTCCTCTGTGAGTCTCACCTCCATGACCCTATTGCCTTACGACACTCCTGACTTGTGGAAGGTGGTCGGTAAGTGTCCGGCACATGAATGAAGTACATCTAGGTGCTCTCAGTTCCTTTGGGGTTTACGAAGTCACCAGCGTGAGTCTGTTTTGGATGGTGATTTTCTCCTGATGGAAGAGCCAGGTATCCCACAGCCTTCTAGACATAGGCCGTTATGACCTTATTATTAGCATCCAGTGTCCATTACCAGACTAAATGTGTACGAAATGTGCAGTTATCTTTGTAGGAAGTTGAACCCTTATTGAAACCTTCACTCTATGTGAATATAATTGAAATTTAGGTCTGAGGTTGATTTTTAAACTGTTTGCAATGGCAAATCCTAAAATATCTTATTTATTCCCACAGGACTTCTCACAGTTGATCCAAATAAAAGACTGAAAATGTCTAGCTTGAGGTACAATGAATGGCTTCAAGATGGCAGCCAGCTGTCCTCGAACCCTCTGATGACTCCGGACATCCTGGGATCTTCAGGAGCTGCTGTGCACACCTGTGTGAAAGCAACCTTCCATGTAAGGCCTGCACCGTGCATGGTTGGGGGCATTGGAAAGGGGGCCCCCTCACGTGCTCTTATTCCCTAGCCTCAGACACCTCTCCACTGATACACTGAAAAATGTGTGTCCTTTGGCTGAGACTGCGTAGTACTCACTGTACCTGGGCACCTTTGTGCCAAGCAAATGCAAAAGGATAGTCTAAGGAGCAGATGAGTGAGGGAGAAATACAATTATTGCCCAGGGAATTACCTTGAGAAAGGAAAAAGAATAGTGCTGCTCAGCTCAGAACTGAAGTTTAAAAAGTAGTGGATGAAAATGTTGAGGAATGGAGAAAGTGACTCTCAGAGTTTGCACCAGCTGACCCCGATCTTCTCAGTGCCCTGTGACGTGAGGCTGTACAGAGTCACGCAGGCCTGCCGGTGCCCAAGGTGAAGAAAAGCCCAGGCCATCTGCTCTGAGGAGGCGGAGTCTATTCTGTGTTGGGAATTTGTGGTCAGAAATGTAAATCTTAGCAGCAGAACAAGTCAAATAATGGAGAGGGTGATGATTTAGATGACTGATGTTCTTCAGGAATTCCCAGTCAGTGCTTCTTACTGGGATGTGGTCGGTCCAAGGTCTTCAGCAGATTCAAAAGAGCTAGAGGTGAGGCTCCGTGGTAGAGCGCTTGCCTGAGGTTCAGGCCCCTGTAACACATGCGCGCGTGCGCACACACAGCACAAACATACGCGGACTGCTGGAGGCCCGCGTGGTTTGATGCACACAGAGCCCTCAGAAATCTTTTCCCATGAACTTCTCTCCCCTGTCAGGAAGTTGTCCGAGCTTTGTTCCCGGAACAACTGGAAACTGTGGTTTTCAGTGAAAAATTGTCTTCGCGTGTGAGTCGTAAATGGCATGAAATTTGAGTACTTTTGTCTCTCAGGGCTTCCCTCTTTCTTCCCCTAGGCCTTTAACAAATACAAGAGAGAGGGATTTTGCCTGCAGAACGTCGATAAGGCCCCTTTGGCAAAGAGAAGGAAAATGAAAAAGACCAGCACCAGCACGGAGACGCGCAGCAGCTCCAGTGAGAGCTCGCACTCGTCCTCCTCCCATTCCCACGGGAAAACCACGCCCACCAAGACGCTGCCACCCAGCAACCCTGCGGACACCACCAACCCGGAGGCCCTCTTCCAGTTCTCAGACTGAGTGGCAGAGGAAGGGTAGGGATGTCCGCAGTGAGCCATTGCACCTTCATTTCCCTCAGCGTATGCTTGAGGTGATGTTCTGTGCTTTAAAAAAAAAAAAAAGTGTCTCGTTGGTCTCATTGGAATCTGCCTCTTAATGATTTTTTTTCAGGAAAACCTGTTGGTTATCCTCGTCCAAGAGCACTGGACAGAGAATGTTACTGTGAATAGAACATGTGATATTTTTAGTGACCTACCATGATGACAACAGGACCATTCTTGAAAGAACAAATAGTTTCTGTAAATTTAAGTAGGGACTGATCAGATGGCCCACAACGGAAGTCACAGGTTTTCCAGGTGTCTGCCAGCAAGACTTGCTGATGCCTTTGCTATGCCTGGTGGACCAGGTGGGTTCTTAAGAGATTTGCACCCTTTGGATAGTGATTTATTCGAGAAAAAGGTCTGTTTCAAGAAAAGATTCTGTAAGGAATTTTATGTGTGACATATACTTATTTCTTGAGAGAGAATTTTAACTTATTGTTTTTATTTTATTGTTATATATGATGATAACTTGCTATTATTAATCTTTTTCTAAACGTTAAAAAAAGTTATAAGAACTTCGGGTCCATGCTCTGTATTTGGGATCCACCTGCAATGCATGCTCCGCTGTGTATGTTTTCATTTTTGCACTGCTCTTTCCTGGCAGTTTGTTTAATGGTTATTTCAGAGTATTAAGGTACATGGCTCTGTGTGTTAAGTAACTTGCACTTTATAAAAGGATGTGAATAAAGCAATCTGTTTTATAAAGTGCACTGTCTAAAGCATATGTACTGTATTTTTGCCAGTTTTTTTCCATTATCTACTTAAAATTTGTCCTTACATCCCTCTTCTGCTTTGTATGCAACAAGTAGAATGGGGCATGTTGTATGAGTCCTTAGCCACTTACGCACCAACACGAGGGAGAACTAAAGGGAAATTAGACTCAACACTGTGCTTCGTATTTGTACACTGTGTTGGACTACAGTGAGCCACGTCCTCCTGTAGTCATTTATTATGTACATAATATTTTAGAGTCATATCTTTGACCTGTTTTGAAATTTTTCTGTTAAACTTTGAATCCAGAAAGCATATTTTATAAACTTATGCAGAGCACTTTTATTGCTCCAAAGTTATGAATTCATAGAGAAAACAAGTGCTATGCGATGAAGACATTTCATGGAAAGATTGCCGCATTTTAAAATACAATTAATTCATTCCCTATGCAAAAAACCGAAGTGTTAGGATTTGTATGTTGTGCTTTCTTTTCAAGCCATTATGTGAAATATCAGGACTGAGAAAAGTGATCTTTGTTATGTTTACAGGAATCATGCTTAAAAAGATAATGCCCAACAAGTTTATTTTATAGATTTTGTTAATGCTAACCTCCTGAGCATTAGTTTGGAATTTGGGCATGGTATTTATTTATCCCTTTCTTGAGGTAATAGCAGCATTAATTTCAACCAGTTATGAATACTAAAAATATTGCACTCTATGTAATGAAATTATATTTATTACTAAATCAATGTATATATTAATAGCACAGGCAAGAAAATGGCAACTATTAAAATATTTTCCAAAAATTGTATTATCATGTTCACATTTTTGTCCACCATGGTTATTGGGAATAATTTTTTAGACTTCTCACTGCCCTAAATGACTGCATAGCTATCTTTTAATCAGTGAATGTTTTGTACTTCTGGATCGCAGTCATTTCTAATAAGGATGGGAGATCTTGCGTGAACTATAGCTAACCCATAAAAAGTGGTGTCATTGTGTACAAACTTAGAAGAAAATGTCCGTTTATTTTTACATTGGATATATTCGGGTTGTATTCAAGTCACTTTTTAAACAGTGTGTTATGGTAGAAAATGAGTTATAAAATACAAACTGGAGGGACTTTGTTGCCAGCAGAAAATAGTCCAGAAAAATGGTCAAAAGTCACTGTGCCCCAGTGGCTGGTAGTGTGGTTGGCTCACTGTGAGGATTGAAATTCGGTGGGTTTACTTTTCATTTCTTTCTTGTGCATCTTCTCCTGGAGGACACTGAAATGGGCAAAGGCAGGCAGAGTGAGAGGAGGGAGACAAGATAAAGCTCTGTCTCTTGACGTGCCAGCCTGAGTTATCTCGAATGGGCTTTGAAAAGACCCGAGAGGACACACAGCCGTGCACTGTCCTGGCAGATGTCGCCGTCCTCACCGACCCGCACACACGCACAAGCAGCCTTGGGTGCTACTGTGTTTGCAGCAGCTGAGAGGTGTGCAGGCTCTCCGCTAGCGCACAGGGCACCGCGCCTTCAAATTCACAGAGCTTTCGTTTGATTACGTGAAAACTGAACAGTAACACATACTTCCTAAAAAATACCAAATGCAAGGACTCTTTTGATATTAAGAATAAAATAAATGTAAGAAAAAAATATACATTAAATACTTTTTATGATACTAATTTTGAGGATAAAGCTAAATCACCACCTCCCTTCTCCCCTATTTGACGGTATGGTATATAACTTACGCCATCATGCGTACCGAATCTATACTTTCCAGCTGTATATGCGTAGTATATTGTGAGGCAAGAACAGGAAAAGGAAGGTAATAGAGGAAAGAGATTAAGAAAACAGTTCTTAATCCAGAGGTCTCCAGATTTCTATAAAACAAGGAACCACTGCACTTCTGGACTGGAACATCGGTCCCCTGGGTTAATTTCAACATGATTGTCTTGGAGTCACAGGTTCATTTACCTATGAGAGATTACCTTTTAATTCTTTTTGATTACTGCTAATTTCTTACATAAGAATGTTAATTCTTATAAACATTAGGTAATTCTTTAAATATAAGGTAAGTTATTTTAAAGAATTCTGCTAGGATAACAATGATTGGTTCGTTTTTTAAATAAGGAAATTCCTTTGGTAACTCACTTTATTTTTTTAAGTTTTTACACAAATCCTTTATAAAAGTATACAGTTTCTTGCCCGGGATATAGCTCAGCAGCACAAGCACCTGCCTGGCAAGCACAAGGTCCTGAGTTTAATTCCCAGTGCCAAAAAAAAAAAAAGGTATATAATTTATTGTCTAATTGTTCACCTTGCCTCTATTTGAAACACCTGTTACTGTCATATTTATTAAGAACAGGGCACCTTACAATGCTGGCCATTTCTAAATTGTTGGTTCTGTATTTGCCTTAGACCTTAGATTACTTTGGGTATTGTTCCAGGGACCAGTAATAATACCTAAGAACTCGATTCAGGTGTTTGTGTAATAACACTTCTAATATTCTTTAAAATCTAAGTAAATAGTTAAGTTCTAATATAGCACTTACATAATGTCAGAGTAATTGTCTTACAGATGAGTTATTGTACCGTGATGCATTCTCTTCAAATTCTGATGTTTGGCCCCCTCAAATGTCTTACCCAACAACGGTACAGTTTCTGGTCTTTAATTATTTTTTATGGAAAAAAGTAAAGCAAAATTTCATAACAAAATAATAGGAGAATAATAATAGTTATACATTGTGTATCATTATCTTTAAAGTAGGTAATCAGGCTCAGCGTGGTGGTACACGCCTGTAATCCCAGCACCCGGGAGGCTGAGGTAGGAAGATTGCTGCAAGTTCGAGGCCAGCCTGGGCTACAAAGTGAGTCTAAACCAGCCTGAATTGCATAACAAAACCCTGTCTCAAAAAAAAAGTAGGTAATCAGAGTACAAGATATGGGCATAAAAAATTCTCTAAGCAATAGTAGCACAAACTTTTCTTTTCAATGAACTAAGAGAAACTAATAGTATATCTTGCATTTTGTTTTTCTTTCCTTTTCCCCTCAAACCTTTTCCCTTCCCTCATCCTAGTTCCTTTTTCCTTTGAACAATTTCTTCCCATTTCACAATATCTATTGTGCATGTTGGACCTTATTTTTACTCTCAGTTCCTCACACCAGGGAGACACACGTGAGTCTGATTTATTTCACTTAACAGTATGGTGTCTAGTTGTATCCATTTACCTATGAAAGTCTCAAGTTTATCCTTCTTTTTGGCTGAGTAGTACTCCATTGTATAAAAAAGCTGGTCTTTAATTAATTGCAAGCCCCACATGTGTGGGCATTCTCACATGATAACATGATCTGGCACCTAAATGAATGCAGCAAGCGCTAATGGAATTGGAACGTAAATATGAGTCATTGTAAAACTCACACTTGATAAGATTCATAGAAAGTATGTATCAAATATTTGAAGTATAATCTGCTCAAAGAAAATAGCTGCTACAGCAACGTAAAGGTTTTATTCGCTATCTTAAGTAACTTCACTCCAAATTGTGACATTCTATAGTGTGCTTTGTTTAAAAACAGGTATTTAAATCTTGTTTTGGGGGCACGGAGTAGCATATGGTCAAAGAGGCAGCATCTTCCTAAGAATATTTGATCAGTCTCATTCCAGACTGATTCTCATCTCATCATTCTCATCTTCAGCACTGCTTACTTTAGAGCTTCGAGATACCGTATTTCTTCTGAGCCCTTTTCTCCGTGTGCCCAGCTCTCCACTTTGAAGTGAAGTGTTGGCCCAGCTGCTCCTTGCCCTCCTCAGAGCTGTTGCCCATCCTGTTTGATGCATTTGGAACGTAAGCAGGAAGCCCGCACTTTCCTATTTTCCTACTGTTGGGCTGAAAAGGAACAAGAAACAAAAGTAGCTCCTAAATAGCTGTGCGTTGTTGTCTTCACATAAGTGCCGCCAACCCAGTTAGCTACTCTCGGTTACCAGCCATTCCCTTTCTTCGATACTTCTCACTACATGGCTAAGTGCTGATGTTTTGTATTTAGGAGACTTTATATTAAAAGACAGGATTCTTGGTAATTATTCCTTAGGCTGTTTTCTTGGTATATGTCTGCTGGGATAGGTGGAAGGACATTTTATAGTAGTTTCCTAAAGGGCTGCCTGGTCCATTGTAAAGCCCTGAAGACTTCAAAGAAATAAAATTTGTATTTAATACAACTGGCCTTCAGAACGCAGGTGTCTGGGATAATACTTAGCATTATGTTGTTTTCTATTGTGTAACATTTTTAATTTGTATGGTCTTGTAAAGTTTGTCTCTAAAAATCAGGTAGGATGCTCGTCTCTTCCCAGTAGTTTTTGTCTTTCTGTTTATGTTTTCAAGTCCCCCTCTATTGAAAAAAGAAGCTGAGCATGGTGGTACACATCTGTAGTCCCAGCACTCTAGGAAGCTGAGGCAGGAAGATCACAAGTTCTAGTGCAGCTCAGGCAACTTAGCAAGACCCTGTTTCAAAATTTAAAATTAAAAAAAGAAAAAAATCAAGAGTGTAACTCACTGTGAAGGCCCTGGATTTAATCCCCAGTAAAAGGAAAAAAAAAAAAGAGGAAGAAGATGAAGATGAAAATCCAAAGAACAAAAATGATATGTCATGACTTAGAGAAGGAAATTGAAGTCATGCGTGTAGAATAATGCAGCTTTATTTTCCAACATTTCTGTTTGTAGATAGGTTGGGAAATCCTTATTTCCCTTATTTGCTTTGTTTTAAAATCCAGTAAGGTTGAGGCCATTGACATTTTTAACTACAGTTTTATTTCTAACTGTACAAGAAGATGGTCATGTAAAATGTGTCCTGCTGTGTCAGAATGGGACGTGACAGCTGTCCTCATAAAAGACCTGCGGCTGTGGTCAGCACTTGATCACTCAAAGCTAAAAAAAAAAGCACAGTTTATTTTAGCTCCCATTCTGCGATCTTGCTTGCTAAAATTATACATATGGGCAAAAGGAACGATTGACTACAATAATGCTCTCTCTTCCCGTGAATAAGAACAGAAATATAAAGGTGCAATATCACATAAAAATTAAATAAAGACTTTCAGAACGAAAGTTTCGAAAGATATCTCTAAAAGCTTTACTGGCAAGAATTTCTCAAAAAGAAGAGGAAATCACAATATACACATAGAGGAATTTTTTGTAAAGACTGGCATTTAAATGTGCAGCTGGTGTATTTCTGTCCAAAGTGGTATTTATCCTTAGGTGTAGAATTGGAACTTTTGATAGCAATCCAAGCTGCAGTAATCTGTATGAGCTGTTCCTCCAGAGCTGTGCCGTAAAGAGAAAAATTATTTTTACTAAAAGGTAAATGGAAAATTAAACATTGAAAAACCTTTTTCTTCTGTTCTATGTAGAGAACTAAAAGTACAATCAAGTCCCAGAACAATGAACACTGATCCTGTCCGCTTCTGTCTTCCACAACTGCCTCAGCTGATGCCACACTCGGTACATGTACTTTTCCTTGCATTGCTTTTTTTGTTTCCCATTACAAACCCACACACATTGATGTAACCCCCACCGGTATTTCACTCACTAGTTCTTTGTGTATGTAGTGATTAACGTTTATAGATGATAGTCAATATCCCGGTAATAAACAGTCGATTGAAACAACGAAGGGAAAAGTTTAGGCTGATAATGAGTTAAGATTAAGGAACTAATGATGCTATGTGGGAAAGTGAGAGCCTTTAAACGTGGAGATCTGAACCTTTCCTGTGGACCCAAAGAAGGCTACTTTACAAAAACGCTATCTCAATGGCCATATAAATAAGGCTGTCTAA